TTTATTTTCGATATTCTACAATTTCAATTCAAATTTTATCTACTCCGTATATTCTGCAAAATTTTCACTTAGCTTCAATTTTATATTTTGAATAAATTTTGAAAGTAAATCAAGATCCAATAATATTTAGTAAAAATTGAGGTGCTACACGGGTGTCAAGTTGGCACTTTCTTAAAAATGTCTTAAAAATATTTCAACAATAAGCTTTTTCAATAATTCTTGAGAAGTTCTATATTTCCCGGTCTCGTTCTAAAAGTTGTTTTGGAAACCAGCAGTGAGTAGCGGAGAACCTCTGCCCGCCAAGCTACGCGTTCGTGTTCACGTTTAGCTCGACTACGACGGGATTTGCATTGTCGGCGGAGGCGATGATCACAGAATCCTACTTCCAGACTTGCCGCTACGATTTAGCGGCATGATTTTGGTACCGCCGAAAACCGTAGCGTTGTGCATCTCCCTGCTCATCTCTGGATGCACAACGCTACGGCTTTAGGCGATATCAACTTGGGCGAATCCGGAACTAGGATTTTGTGATCATCGCCTTCGTCGATAATGCAGATCCCGTCGTAGCCGAGCTGAACGCGATCATGGACGTGCAGCTTGGCGGGCAGAGGTTCTCCGCCACTCACCGCTGGATCTCAAAGCAACACTTAGAACGAGGACGCTCAACAGATATTGCCTAAATATTTTTTTTCTTTGCAATCTCAAGTTCGAGCGCGCAGTGTAAGCTCGATATGATTTACTATGACAAAAGCCAACACCTCATGCCTGCCTGCATTGAAGCGTATGATGCCACCAGTATCTTTAATAGATATTTTACCGATATTGCGTAGCAGAACTATTGTTAAAACCTATCAGGAACTATAGAACTCCTCGAGAACTATTGAAAAAGCTTATTTTGAAACGTTTTTAAGAGATTTTAAAGAAAAGTGCAGTGCTGGAGATCCACACCCGTCTAGCACCTCAATTTTTGGAAAATTCGTATTTTAACGATGTTACGTAGCAGAACTATTTTTAAAACCTATCAGGAACTGTAGAACTCCTCGAGAACTATTGAAAAAGTCTATTGTCGAAACATTTTTGAGATATTTTTAAGAAATTGCAGTGCCAACTCAGCACTCAATGTTGCAACTATAGTTCCGCTTGGAAATATTGTTTAAATAATGCTGGAAGCTAGCATCGCACCGCTGCACTCCTCAGCACAGGCAGGCGCGAGGAGCTGGCTTTAGTCTTATTAAATCTTATCGAGCTTAAACTGTGCGCTCGAACTTAAGATTGCAAACAAAAAATATATTTAGGCAATATCTGATGAGCGGCCTCGTTCTAAGGGTTGCTCTGGCAACCAGCGATAAGTTGCAGGAAACCTCTACCCGCTAAGCTACACGTACACGTTCAGCTTGACTGCGACGGAATACGAATTATCGACGGAGGCGATGATCCAAAAATCCTACTTCCGGACTCGCCTCTACGATTTGGTGTCGCCTAAAACCGTAGGCGTTGAGTATCTGCCTACTTATCTCTGCTTGTGGGCAGTGAGGAACCGCTACTACACCTGCCATATGAGTATCACATTACGCGGAATCCTATTCAATTAAATTAACGGACTCAGTCTAGAAAACATAATTCAAATCATTACATATTACAATTTTAGGTGTCTCGTACTTCGAGTATCACAAAGGACACGGTGAGAATCTGTAATTTGTGAATCGTCGTCGAGTCGAGCTTCGTCGTTTGTCCGCCGCTCTCGGTGGACGCCACCAGTCCTGTCGAAGCTAAGTACAGTCTTAGAGCGAAATACGGTCCGAACAAGCAATAAGGAGCATTTGCCGTGTGCGGACAAATACGGATATGCGTGACAGTAATTATCTGGACCACGATGGATTCAAGAACTCGTTAACCTTCCAATGATGGCATGTAGTCTAACAGACTCGATAGGTGTATATTTTCTTAATGGCAAAAAAGACGCCACCACTGTGAGGTTAAGCGGTATGTATTACAAGTGCTAAAACGACGACATCGGAAATCCGTACGAGTGAAAATGGATAATAATGATGATACTCGCGCGATATCTTATTTTTTTGACATATTCAAAAGAAGTTTATGTGTACGAAGAAAAATTGCCATTAAAACGATAACACGACATGAGGTGACAGTGACTTCTTGACACTGCGTCATTCAATATTTCGTTTCTCCATACGCATTGGAACTGTATGTATGTACAAAGTAGGCGGAATTCCGATAAAATTAAGCAACTGGTAAAATTAGCTAATTATGATAACAGCCTAGACTCAATGACTTGGGAATTCAGGCCGTCGTCAAAGTCCAATGTAACTGCGTTTCAATTCGCTTTATTTAATGTTACACAAATCAGACTAGGTCAATTCGAGACTTTTCTTTTTTTTGTTCGTATGTCAGCGTTATTCCAGTACTTCCCAGATCGATGAATGTACGATCCGTTGAGAAATAATTGGCGATCCTTGGTGCGATGAAGACGTTACTGATAATCAGTAACGAGCAATAATACAGTATTCCGCAATTGCCATAGACTGCGCTGCAAGAAACTTGGACGATAACAAATGATATTCTGGAAATTTGGAATTTTCATTAAGTCTTTTGACTGAACGATCTTATAATTTTATTAATTTTATGAATTTTTTAGGATGAATTAATCACGCCGCTGTAATTAGACTATATTTTTTAATTAACCAGAAGAGCTTAAACGTTGAATGATCCAGTTAGGTATGTTGAATGAAGATTTTATACTAGGGGATGCTGCGGGTAAGTTTTTCTAAAGTATCTTTACAAGTGCGCTATGTCAATTACCAGCTCATATAACTTCCGCTTCCTCGGAGTTACTTCAACGGTAGTATAGAAACTGTACTTCGCATGGTATACATCTCTCGACCTGGTGCTCCGCCATTTTGCAAAACTTCACCAACCCGGCTAGGCTATTCGCACCGCTTTGTCCAGGTAGCTCAACTTCGCGCAACTTTTACGTCCCTAACTTAATTGGGTCACTTCACTTTTAACACAGCTATTAAGTTACGCTCGTGATAATTACTCTTGCAGAGATTTAAATTTCCCGCGAATTCTTTTTTTTCCAAAGAGCAAATGCTATTAGGACGCCCTAAATGTATGAAGCTGCCTGATAAAGCATAATTACTTAATAAAATCATCTGGATAACCTATTAAAGGTACAATGACGTTTATATACATGTGTCATATATCTATGCGGACGTGTAGTGGATGTCAAGTGGGAAAAATATTACAAGTACAAGAAAATGAAGTAAAACAAGTATAACGATAATTGAACATATTAATGCAGTATAGGATCGATAAAAATTTGCGTTTCCTTAATAATCATCACGTTTTATCATGCATAGACTATTTATTCAAATGAATTTTTGTACAGTGAATTTAGAAATTTTTTCAAATTTAATTACAACCTTTCAGACTTTCATACTTAATTTAATCGAATCCTTGATTCCAGTATTATTATTATATTGATATTTCATTATATCTATAATTATAGCTATACGTTCAGTGGCATTAGATTTCCAGTAGTCACACTTGTTTCAGGCAGTAAGGAAGGGTCACTCACATAAGAAGGCGTCTCTGGAGGGAAACGGAGAGAAAGGAGAGCGAGAAAAAGATCCATGCGTCTCCCTTGACTCCTTGACTTCTCGGCTACTCTTGGCGCGTCACGCGGACGCCAATCGATCAGACAATCCGCGACTTCCAAAGACGCCGTGTCGACGCCCGTCCGATTCAATTTACTTGTAATACAATAAATCCTATAACAATCGTTATAGGAATATCTTTTGAACTATATATCAGTTCGGTTAGAATTGAGGTTTTTTAATTATTTGAAAAACAAAAAAAAATAGAGAAAGAGTGAAAATGCCATTTTTCAAAAAACTTCGAAGATTCTCCAGACACAAGAGTAAGTTTTTTTTTTAAATTATAATACAAATTAATTATTAATTTTTATCGACAACAGCTCCCTCTGCCGAAAGTTGGATTTTTTTTTAAGATATATATACCAGTTTTTTGCTTCTCATTATACTTGAGTCAGATTTCTTTCAATCGTCAAAATTATGCTTTTTGAGAATTTACTTTGAATCTTATATTTTAACGCTACCGGGTAAACGCCTTGCGCGGTATCGAGGATCGTTTTTATACGTAGTGCAGAAAGTGGAGCATGGATCGGCAAGGGAATGACCTCGAGCAGTGCATCTGTAACGATCAGGTCGAGGATATTGACCTTTATTCGATAATACAAAAATTTTTTCAAACCCGCAAGTCTCAAAGATCAACAAGAGTCATTGTTAAAGAATCGTATAATAAATAATCGTGAAAAGAAAATTTTGTAAACAATGAAAATAGTTGAATTGAAAAATTGCAGTTAATTGTAGAAGAAATTGCATCACATGGAATTATGCACTTTTGAATGCATATCTATCAACGCGTTATTCTTACGTGAGTAATGCTATACCTACGTAGAAATGAAAGTACGGCGTGCTAACGCACGTGGCGCCTAACGTAACCTGCGGTCTGCATGTATCGTGTACATATGTGCGCAACTGTGATTTAGCATATATATATATATATATACAAAAAAAAATGAAAATGGCGGAAATATATAAAAATTTGGATAAATTGTATAATTCTCTTTTCTCATAATTTTCACTTTATATATCTTCCTGTATAATCTCCTTTCACCAATGTGCTTTAGCGTAATTTCGCAAAAGGCGCGATTACCATAGTCGCCCTTCTCTCCCATATAACGTGCGGACGTTAAATAAGCGTCTCGTAATTTGCATTACACGCACATTAGCCGCAATAAAAACAAAACTCGATCATCGCACGTGCAAATACAACCAGGATAATAAACTTTCAGGTATAGCAACGTCATCGATATTTTCATAATCGAAAATCAATACGCAACAAAAATCAATTAGCGAACTCCTATGATTTTCATGTGTCGGACTATTTTTTTTTTGGGCCAGTAAAAAAATGAATTGATCTTCTTTCTCTTTTTTTCTCTGTCCCTAGGGATTTTGCGCATTGCGATTTTTACCCCGTCGATAGGACCGTCATTTAAACCGCGAGATTATATCCGCCAGCAATAAGTTTCGTTAACCTTTTTATTTCCGCGTTCAGCCGTTCTCGAACCCAGATAAAACACTCGCACCCCCTTTTCACCCCCTATTCGCGCATTTATACTCAAAGCCGATAAGATAATTTTCAGTCTTCATCTCCCGTGAGAAAAAAAATATTTTATTTTCCAGAAAAAAAAAAATAAAAATGACACTCGATCCACGTGGCTTTGATAATCTTTTTTTTTATACGCTCGAAAAAATATCCATACCATTTATAATTTTGATAGTCGACACTCATTCTTTTATCTGTCGCTTTTCTTTTTTATTATACGGAAATTTGAGTTCGTAGTAACGACACTCGACCTTAACACTTGTTATCTCTCGGCAACCCTTACTACATTGGGCAACGACCTCTCGTCGTTAAACAAACTCATATTCTTTATGAAATTGCATCAATTTTGATAGGACGTTTACAACGTAGTATATTGTATAGTCGGGTGTCGTTTACAAACGATTTTAAGAATGACCTTTGACCTGACTCTGTCGTATCTTTATGACGTGACAACTTGTTCTGGTATCACATCAGGGGGTCAAGTGCATTACTTATTTATATTTATATGTATAATATTACGTATTATCATTTTTTATTCTTCAATACGTTTATACGTCCTTAGGATATTGATTTATTTTCACGTAGACACATATGGTTATACTAAATATACGAAAATGTATGACGTAACGATATATAGGTATATAGATTTACACATGTCCACGTATATCGTAACCGTGCTTCACACGAAACCCTTACCGGAGTCTCAGATTTCTCATCTCCCAGTGCTCGTTACATCTGATAAGGATAAAAGATCAAAGGAAAGGATGAAACCTGATAATATTTCAGGATCGCGATGACGGTTTTCATCCGTAATAAATTTAATCTGCGCAGCATCCCTGTGGATTTGAGAGAAAAAGAGATATGTTAAAAATTATCGAAAATCTTTATAGAGATGATCGACTTCAAATATATATATATATTTTATATATATTTCAAGCTACGAATTGAAGGGACAAAATTCCTCGCTTATCTCGCGTCGCGTGACTGATTGAAGGGCTAATGATAATCCCGTGGCCTTCGCTGAGGACGTCGACATCGGAAATTATTTTTCTTCCTCGTCAACTTTCCCTGGGCGTCGTTCAGCGTCGTAGTAATTGAAAATCTCTGAAGTCAATTTCAAAAGCGGTAATACTAATCCGAATTCAGATATCAATAGTGATTCGAGTGAACCCGTTGTACGTTGAAAATTGTACGCAATTTTCAAGTTTTTGTCAAGTATTGTGCATGATTTGAATAATTGCATAAAAATAAAAAAATAAAATTGTGTGACACGTGGTATTAATGTAAATTTCAAGTATTCGGATATGTCGGCTTTATTCGATTTTTAGGGGTGTCAAGTCACTGGTCCATAATTTATTTACTTTTCAATAGATTCAAGTCAACCCAGTCATCCTGACATAGTTCCCATTGAATTCCTATATACATATAGTATAGCAGTCTGCAACCACGGAACGGCTTAGTAATCCTTACGTCAGCCACGTTCAATTCCACAGTTCAATTATGGTCGACGTATGGGTACCGCCTTAACAGTTGATTTACCACAGCCAAGGACTTCCCCTTTCTTGTACCTTTAATCCGGAAATTCTTGGACGTGCCTGTCCACGGTAGAAACGAACGGCGTCACGACGCCCATGAATTGCATCAGCGCGTCGAGACGCATCTTGACTTGAGAAAGGAATCAGTAAAGAAAAAGGCTTGCTAAAAGAGATTTCAATGGATCGGTCGAATTACGTAAGAATAAAGTCTGACGAGCACCACTGATTAGCGAACGTAGCGAGAAAACTTAATTATCCAATTTTCATCTCCATAGCTATCGTCAAATTTTTCAAGCTCATTTATCGTCAGCAAAAATCTTTTTTTTTATTTCATCGAATTAATTTTCTAATTATCAAAAATTATACTTCTTCAAGTCAATTCGAACGTGTACCCTCGAGTTTAAATCCGCTATCAGAATTTAGTAATCCGTAAATTACGATAAGTCCGGACGCGAATGCAAAAGTCAAGGGAGAAGTTGTAAAAATGAAAAAAAAAAAGGAAAAAATAAAGGGAACATAAACCGAAGGAAGAGGAAGGAAAATAAAATAAGAGCGACTTCTTATTCGGCAGCGAGAATGAAAACCGGTGGGATCCACTTTGCAGCTGATTGGTCCCCGACGGGATTCACCTTTGGATCGCCTTGAGCGTCGATCCGCGATCTTCGCGAGTGGATCAAGGGCGGCCAAAACTCTGTTAAAGGCAAAGGCAATAGAATGAAAAAGGAATTTGCGATACTTACTATAGAAGCTGTAATGCATATATGCAAGTATCCATATACGAGCATATATATATACATATATACACCTATCTATATCTATATAGGAACTCTGAGGCTGGACAAGACGGCGACGCTTAAGGTCGTTTAACTTGCCTGCAGTGTTCAGACGGCTGATGCAAGCGCCGTTCCATAAGTTAACCAAACTGTCTGGCTCGTTCCTGTCCGTCTCTACTTGAACACGTGATATCATATACGAACATTGAAGAGACGTAAGGTCCTGATACGACGCTGGCGCCATCTGCTTGAAAATTACTAATTCAAACTTTGATGCACTTTGAACTTACGTTCAAAGTTCGTTTTTACGAAGTTTCCAGCACTGCAGTTAATCGGTTTCGTATATGACGTTTTTTCAGTAGTAACGGTAGCTTCGTTCTGACATTGACTGTACTTGCTCGATCATCCAATAAGCATGGTCATTGATAGATTCGATAGGTGAGGTTAAATGAGATACGATAGTGGTATTTTATTTAATTATTATGTTAAATCTATGTAATTTTTTCTTTATAAATTTAATACTCTTTCATCTGATATTTCGTGGTCCTATTTAATCCATATAGGTTTAGGGATAATACTGTTGGATGCTGCGCGGTCCGGCTTGATGCCATGAACGTTTAATATTGGAGTCACGTGTCACGGAATTGTATTGTTCCGACATATGTTGACATATACAGTATATATATAGGTAGATAGTTATACACAGTATATACATATATATAGTATCATACACACGAGTATCTCGGAAATCAAATATAGATACAAAGGGAAAAAATGCGTCGAGCAACGATACACGTTTAATATAATAAAAAATAAGATAAAAATTGATAACACGAAATTGCGTTATACCAAAAATATAAAAGAATCAATAAAAAGCTCGGATTATAATTTGAGATAAGTCTTGAAATGAAAAAAAAAAAATCTATTTATCCCCCACCACTCGTTTCCTTCCGTCCAATACGGATTTACACAAAGTTTTGTAACTTTCTCGTTGGCGACGTAGAGGGAAAAAAAAAAAGAAAAAGGCAGAGAAAGTTCCTGCCAACTTCCGAACTGCAAGGAAAAACATTTAATTTCCTTGCCTAAGAGGTAGGAGAGAAAGGTGGTGGTCCATCGATCATTCCCGCGTCTAGATATTATTATGGGTCGTATGAGAGCCGAGGGTCCAGGAGCAGGAGGGTGGGGGGAAGGTCATTTCCGTGACAATTCTGAACCCCTTTATCCTTACACGTGGGTTCTATGGTATCGATACTGTTATTATTATGCCATTTTTTTTTGTATATCTGTAAATTGTGTAATCTTGGCTACTGATAATTTCTAAAGCTGTCAGGTATTTTCTAATGGTATATGTATACCTGGTGCAGCCTCTTCTGGTTGGCCGTTTGGAAGACGAAGGACCTATGGTAGGAGGAAAGCAAAGC